CAGTCCAAAAAAAAAAAAAAAAAAAAAAACAGTCCCCTGGACTGCTCTGGCATTGCTGGGTTTGGTGGGTACTGTACTTTTTCATAAATATGGTTTTAGGCCCCAAGATGCATTAATTTACAAGATTTGATAATTTTAAACCTCTCAGTGGTGTCTGAAATAATGAAATGAAATGTTTTATAAAGATTAGCCATAAAATTAAATAAGAACAGTCTAAAAGGGACAAATACTCCCGCTGGTTTTTTTCAGAGAAGTTGTCAAATTATGAATATTTTATGGATCTAAGAGAAGAGAGAAATGGTGAAAGATTTTTTAGTACACATATAATTACTCATTATATTCCTTTATGAATGAAACAAAGGTGTAGTCTAATAAAAGAAATACTTAAGATACAGGCCACACAAATTCTGTCAGTGAACTTGAACTTGCATTAATAACCTTGGTTCAGAGTCATGACACACCCTCCGGTCATAAGCAATCTTTGTGAAAAATGGGAACTCAACAGATCTATCTATAAGAAAAATATGTTTTATATTGTTTGCATTTTGTAATGTATGAACTAGACGAAATTATGATTTTTTTTCCTGTCAGCGTCTTTAAAGATGCACAGATGATTGTGGGTCAAAGTTATGATAAACCCTCTGGTCATAGGCAATATTTATGTAAAGCAGGAACATTCAAAGTTTATCCAAAAGAAAGATATGGACCTTGCACAAATTATGAACTTTTATTTCAGTGACCTTAACCTTGCACAAATGGTCTTGGGTCAAGGTTATGATTTACCCTCAAGACATAAACAATCTTTGTGTACAACAGAAACTTACCAAGTTTATCCCAAATAAAGATGTGGACCAGACATGAAATGTTTTTTTTTTCTTTCAGTGACCTTCAACATGCACAGATGACTTTTGGTCAAGGTCAATATACACCCTTACGACATGAAAAATCTTTGTGTGAAATGGGAACTTACCAAGTTTATCCAGAAGAAAGATAAGGACCGGACACATTTGAACGAACAGACAAGGTGATTTCAATACACAAGGAATAAAAAGGAGCCCACGGTGTCCTATTTTTAAGTTGGTAATATTTGATCACGAAAGATGCATCAACTACCAAAGTTTGATGATCATAGGCCTTAAAGTCTCCAAAATATGCCTTCAAATCAATTAGAAAATAAATACCCACAAATTGAACCAGAAGTCTCTGTCGAGACTGTAGCTCTACTGGTTTGTACTTATCAAAAACCATTGCACTGTTTTATGTATCTCTGTGTAGTCTACTTGTGTGCCAACTTATTTTGTAATCAAACTAAAACTGTAGAAGGAGTAGCGTTTTAAAGGAATTTCGCAGAAAATTCTTTTTCTAGTAACCATGGCAACACCGTTCATCGAAATCAAAAACCGATGCACTATTCTATGTATCTTAGTGTAGTCTTCTTGTGTGCCAAGTTATATTGAAATCAGACTAAAATTGTAGAAGGAGTAGCGTTTTAAAGGAATTTCGCAGAAAATTCTATTTTTAGTAAACATGGCAACACCATTCATCGAAATCAAAAACCGATGCACTATTCTATGTATCTTAGTGTAGTCTACTTGTGTGCGAAGTTATATTGAAATCAGACCAAAACTGTAGAAGGAGTAACCTTTTAAAGGATTTACAGAAAATTCTATTTTTAGTAACCATGGCAACACTGTTCATCTAAATCAAAATACTATGCACTATTTATTCTATGTATCTTAGTGTAGTCTACTTATGTGCCAAGTTATATTGAAATCAGACCAAAACTGTAGAAGGAGTAGTGTTTAAAGGAATTTTACAGAGAATTCTTTTTTTAGTAACCATGGCAACACCGATCACTGAAATCAAAAACCGATGCACTATTGTATGTATTTTAGTGTAGTCTACTTGTGTGCCAAGTTATATTGAAATCAGACCAAAACTGTAGAAGGAGTAGCATTTTTAAGGAATTTCACAGAAAATTCTATTTTTAGTAACCATGGCAACACCGTTCATCGAAATCAAAAACCGATGCACTTTTCTATGTATCTTAGTGTAGTCTACTTGTTTACCAAGTAATATTGAAATCAGACTAAAATTGTAGGAGGAGTAGCGTTTTGAAAAATTGTTTACAGACAGACGGACAGACAGACAGACAGACGGACGGACGACGGACGGACGCATTACTATCACATAAGCTCTTCTGGTCTCTGGCTAGTAGAGCTAAAAGTTAGGTCACCATGATCTATTTTTGAGTTATAAACATGATGTGAAGTTCTAAGATGCATAAACTTACACTATTTAATGATCTTAGTCTTCATAGTAAGGAAAATATAAACATTTTTAGAAGTGTAATTTTTTGGTCAAATTTGAAGTGACCTTAAGAACACGCCCTTTTCCCCTGGATGATGCCCTGAAGAATTTTTAATCTTCAACGTATTCTCATACTTGTATGTAAATTTGGTGGTCATCTGCCTGGTATGATTTTATTTCCTGATTATATCCACTTATTTAAAGGTCCTAACCTTAGTTGTAGTATTAATGGTACATGTAGCCTTTGGGTCAAGGATACCTGTGACAAATTTGACAATGATTGGCTGAGGGGTTCTTCTATTCTAAAAGGATTACGCACACTGTATGACGCACGCCATGCAAATGGCCATTGGCCATGGCATAAGCTCTTTGAACCTTTGGCTCAGAAGAGCTAAAATGGAACTGAAAGAAGAATTTTGATCCTACTCATCCTATCCCACCCAACCCTACCAACATTTGAAAAAGAATTTTGGCACTTGGACAAATTACTATTTTTTCTTTTTTTTATTCTTCACAAAATGTTTTTTTTTTCTTTAGGTTTTAATTTTTCCTCTTTCAATTACCCATCCCCCCACTTACAATTTTCTTGCTACGTCAATCCTACAATAATCTTTAAAATCTTAAAACTTCCTATCCAATAGCGTGGCTCTACACTAGTATCAAAGGGGCGGCATTGCCCAAAGGATCACGACACAACATAACATGGCCTTTGAATCAGCATATATCCAAGGATGCTTATAACGTAATTACAAAGTGGGCCCTGCCATTTTTATGCGCATGGACGATAGATCTAGGGCATATATTGTTTATTTTGTCTGTTTATCTATTTGTCTGTCCGTCTGTTGTCAACTTTAACCTTCACCATAACTTTTGAACCTTGAGAGATTGAGACTTCATATTTGGTATGCATACTCAACTAATCAAATTCTTTCAAATGGCATCGAGGTCAATGACCTTGTGACCTTGACTGTGACATATATGCTAAATATATATTTTTTTTACTTTTCGCCATAACTTTTGAGCCATAGGAGATAGAGACTTCACATTTGGTATGCAAACTCCACTATTATGTTCTTACAAATGACACCTAGCTAGGTCAATGACCTTGTGACCTTGACTGTGACATGTATGCTATACAAGAGGCCCACCTGAGGACTGTGGCTAGAAAAAAGCAGAATTGGTTTATACTTGAAAAGCTTAAATTCAAAATTAGTCCCAAGACCAATCATGTCTTTGCTATTCTTGAGAAGATTTTTAAAGAATTTTCCTATACATTTCTATGTAAAACTTTGGTCGGCCATTTTGGCCCCGTCCTACCCCTGGGGGTTATGATTTGAACAAACTTGAATCTACACTACCTGAGGATGCTTCCATATAAATATGATCAATTATGGCTTGGCTATTCTTGAGAAGAAGATTTTTAAAGAATTTTCCTATACATTTTTATGTAAAACTTTCTTCGGCCATTTTGGCCCCGCTCTACCCCTGGGGGTCATGATTTGAACAAACTTGAATCTACACTACCTGAGGATGCTTCCATATAGATATGATCAATTATGGCTTGGCTATTCTTGAGAAGAATATTTTTAAAGAATTTTCCTATACATTTCCATGTAAAACTTTGGTCAGCCATTTTGGCCCCGCCCTACCCCTGGGAGTCATGATTTGAACAAACTTGAATCTACACTACCTGAGAATGTTTGTTTCCCCATTAGTTTCATCTTTCCTGGCACAGTTTTTCTTGAGAAGAAGATTTTTAAAACATGCCACCAAATTTTCATTAATTCCCAACTATCTCCCCTTGAATGGGGGCGTGGCCCTTCATTTGAACAAACTTGAATTCTCTTTACCCAAGGATACTTTGTGGCAAGTTTGGTTGAAATTGGCCCAGCGGTTCTTGAGAAGAAGTCGAAAATGCGAAAAGTTTACAGACAGACGGACAGACAGACGGACAGACAGCTAGACGGACGCCGGACAAAATGTGATCAGAAAAGCTCACTTGGCTCAGGTGAGCTAAAAAAAGCTCTATCAAACTTTGTTGCCGCCGTCGCATAGTGTCTCAAACACATTTTGTTCAGAATAAAACATGTATAGAGTGAGAATCGCTCCCTAATTTTGGTCTTACTCTGTCGCCAGAATCTTTTTTTTGAAGGAATATTAAAAACTACAAAACTTTGGAATGTTTCCATTTGAATGCAAATTAAAGTGCCCTGTTTCTTTTTATAAAGAACAATTTTAATTAAAATAAAATTGTCATAAAAAAAACCCAAGAGACAGATTTAGTCAGTCAAGCTCAATTGAGTCTTTGACTTACACGAGCAAAAGAAAATTATTTGTTCTGTGCATTTTTCCTACATTCAAAATCAGAGAACCAAATTTATTTATTCTAATAATTTCTTGTCACATCATCATTCTTATAATTGACACCTTGTCTGAAATATATACCGTATAAGTAGTAATTTTAGCGAGGATTTAATTTTGGCATTATTAGCGTGGGTGCTTAGATTGCTAAAATTACATATCGCTAAAAATTTATCGCGTTTTATTTATAATAGGTTCTTTAGGGATCAATCTCAAATCGCTAAAATGACATCTCGCTAAAAATAAAATACCAGTTTTTAAGGACAAATCGCTAAATTTGCGTCTCGCTAAAATTTCCACTTATACGGTATGTCAGTTTAGATACTTACATCAGTAGATTTTCTTTCTGTGTGTGTGACAATAATGAACATTGGTGCCTTAGTGCCTCCAAAAGTTTTGATTGAGGTAATCCAAAACTTTAGGTAGTCTGAAAAAAGAAATAGAGCATGGCAAGTGAGTTAAGGCTACGTATGGAGGTTTCTATGCCAAATAATTAATTAAAACCAATAATTGCTATACATACTGCAAAGAAAATGTTAAGACTTGTTTTGACATCATCAGCCTTTACTATACAAGTTTATAAGGAACATAAACAAAATCGCTTCGGCGCAAGGGCATACGTTACTTTGTTTTACAGAAACAAGGTACAAAGAAAAGCAGAATATTCCAAAGATTTAAGATATTGCTGCACAAATGTTGACACTGCATTTGTTTAGTCACAATTCGTACAGTTCTAATTTGAAACAGGATAAAAATGTACAGTCCAGTGTTAGTTTGGTAAAATTATCGCTTGAAGAAGATGTTGCCGATTAGTTCAGAAAAACTTTAATCTCCGCACATGGGTAAAACGAATACATAACGATTTTACAACAATATACAGAAGCCCGAACCCGATCCCAAAACAATAACAATTTTTACAAAAAACATAAATCTCAAGAACATTCTCCCCTCCTTGATTGCTTGCACATCAAAAATTACTTGATTTTGATAAAAAATTGAAAATAATTCAAATTGAAATTTCAAACTACTAAAATACATGTAAAAAGTCCTTTTACAAAGTCAACATTTTGAAAATAGTTTGTCTATTCACTAAATTCCAATGGACACAATTTGGTTATAGGGCGCGTAAATGTCTTTTGTCCAACCTTAACGACTGCAACACGCACATGCCCATCTTTGCCGGAATGAACGTTCAAGACGCGACCTAGTTGCCAATGTCCCCTAGGTACATTAGGTTCGATCACAAGCACAATGTCTCCTTCACGTAGATCTCTGTGAGTCTGAGTCCATTTTTTACGCACGTTCAGTCCTGGTAACCACTCACGCATCCATCGGTGCCAGAAGTGACGTACAAGCTCCTGTATTCTTCTCCAACGTTTCCGGGGATTGAACTCTGTGGTGTCTACAGATTCTGGTGCGAACTGACCCCCAACCTGCCCATGCAAGAAATGGTTCGGTGTCAACGGAACATCATCATTAGGGTTTGCTGATTGGTAAGTTAAAGGTCTGGAGTTGATCAACGCCTCGGCTCCTACAAATGCTGTCATGAGTTCTTCATCTGTAACATCCGCTGATCCTATCACTGCATAGATAGCTCTCTTTGCAGCTTTTATCATTATCTCATGGACCCCTCCAAAGTGAGGTGCAAGTGGTGGATTAAAGTGCCACATAACTCCAAGGTTTGCTGTAGACTGTTGAATTTTCCCGTGGTCCAGTAAACCAACAAGCTCCTTGAGTTCATTGTTGCCTCCAATAAAATTAGTCCCGTTATCAGATACGACTTCTTTTGGTAGGCCTCTTCTGCTCACCATCCGGTAAAATGCATTAAGGAATGAATCTGTGTCAAGTCCATAGGCTATCTCCAGGTGTACTGCCCTTGACATCATACATGTGAATAGACATAAGTATCTTTTCTCCCGTCGTTTTCCACGTCCTTGTTTTGTAATAAAAGGTCCTCCGTAATCTACTGCAGTACGAGAAAATGCATGTAATGGCTGTTTGGTACGAATTGAAGGAAGCGGACCCATCAGTTGCTCTGCTGGTTTAGCCTTGTTGCGACAACATTTGTTGCACTGTCGCTCCCACTTTCGAATCTCCTCTCTTGCGGATATTATCCAGAAGCGTGACGAGATCATGGACAACGTATGATTTGTTCCTGTTACATGATTTCCTTTTTCATGGTAGTACTTGATAATAAGAGTTGTGACATGATTGTTTCTCGGAAGAATGATGGGATATCTAACATCATATGGTAAGAATTCTGTATATTTCAATCGCCCATCACATCTCAAAAGTCCATCTTCATCAATTAATGGGTTTAAACACAATAACTTGCTGTTCTGTTGAAGAGGTTTGTTTTGTTTCAGTAATCTGTATTCACAGTGAAACTCACATTTCTGGGCGGTCCTTATGATTTGAGTTTCTGCTCCTTCAATTTCTTCAGCATTCAATTCTCCTATGAGTCTGTCCATGACCTTCAGTCTGCAATTATGTAGAAAGCGATTCATCCACGCTTGAACTCGAACAAGTCGTATCCAGCTGGAATAGGTTTCTGGATCTAAACAACACTGAATATCTTTACAGTCAATTGTTTCTGTCAAAAATGAATAAGAGAAATTGACAACTTCCTTGTTCAACTTCTTTTTCTCCATATCAGTGTCTTGCTTTTCGATTTTCTGTTTTGGCCATTGTGATTCATCCTGATGAAGATAGTGTGGTCCACTCCACCAAACATCGTCTTCTTGTAACTGTGAAACAGACACTCCCCGGGATATCATATCTGCAGGATTTAGTTCAGTTGGCACGTAGAACCATTGCCTTGGATTGGATGCCGACTGTATTTCTCCTATGCGATTTGCTACGAATGGCTTGAAACTTCTGCTTCGAGCTTTGATCCAACACAAAACATTCATGCTGTCAGTCCAGAATGTACACTGTTCAATGTCCAATTCTAAGGCACTTATCACAGAGAGTGTCAATCTGGTTCCCAATACTGCACCCATCAATTCCAGTCTAGGTATGCTTACTGCTGTAAGTGGTGCGACTTTGGATTTTGCTGTGACGAATCTCACCGACACATTTCCATCCTCATAGATACATCTCTGATAGACGACAGCACCGTACGCATCTTGTGAAGCATCAACAAAGGTATGTAGGTAAGTTGATACAACTTCACCATGACATAAACGAAGACATCTCGGTACTGCAATAAGTGATAGCTCTGTTAACTCCTTAAACCACTGCTCGGCCTTCATGACAAGTCCATCACTTAGTGGGTCATCCCAGTCAAGGCCTGCAGCCCACATTTCTTGTAGAAGAATTTTGGCTCGTATTATGTACGGTCCAAGAAAGCCCAATGGATCGAACAACATTGCAATTTTTGAAAGAAAACTGCGCTTCGTGTAATGAAAATCACTATTGGGTGGACTCGCTTTGAAAGTAAAAATGTCCTCTTTGGCCTTCCATAACACGCCAAGGGTTTTCACTGATGGTAGGCTGTTATCATGCAGATCCACTTCAGGAACAACATCTTCTGGTGGGATATGCTGCAAAACATTCACTGAATTTGACAACCATTTTCTGGCATACATACCAGCTTTTCCCCATAATGTTGACAACTCTGAGTATAGTTTGACACCCTCTTCGTCACTTGTTACCGAATCCATACTGTCATCCATGTATGTGGATTTCAAAACAGTTTCTGCAGCCATGGGAAAATTTTCTCTGTTTGTTTCTGCATGTGTTTGTGCGACAAGTTGTGCTTGAAACGGTGATGAATTCATCCCAAACACAACACTGCTAAATTCATATACATCTGGTCTTGCATCTAACATCATGTCACGCCACAAAAATCGCTGATAGGTTCTATCTTCCAGAGGAACCTTAATTCTAAGATACATTTCTGCAAAGTCACAAACAAGTGACACACTATTCCTTCTGAATCTAAGTAGTACGTCAAAGAGTTCATTCTGAAGCTTTGGGCCACAATGGATCATGTCATTTAGTGAAACACCACCATGCTTAGCTGAAGCATCAAAGACAATGCGGGTCTTTGTAGTGGTCTTGTCTGGTCGAATAACAGGAAAATGTGGAAGATACCACGTTCCAGATTTCTCTTTATCACAGTCAACTTTGCGAATGTATCCTTTTTCCATGTACTGTTCAATAGTCTTTGAGTACGCGTCTCTCACTTCCTCGTTCCTCATCAATCGTTTCTCTGTGTTTTCTAATCTTTGGAGTGCCATTTCATAATTGTTTGGCAAATTCTGTGCATCTGTCTTCCAAGGTATAGGAACTTGATAATGGCCATCTACGTATTTAAGCGATTCCTTCACTTTCGAGTATACAGCACGTTCCTCTGGACTGAACAACTGTTTCTTCTTTAGCTCACTGAAATCTTCCATCTCCCAGAATTTACACAAAATTTTGTCTGTTTCATTTTCACTCCTTTGGCTGTGCAGGAAGTAAGTTCTGTTATAATGAGTCTGAACACATTTCTCACTGACACCATAAATTTTCCCCACACAAGTCCATCCTAATGGAGTAAGCCTGGCTACCGGTTCATCAGGTCGACCTCTGATTTCTCTATATGCATAGTGAAGTTCGCTGTTGTCCATTCCAATTAGTATGTCCACAAGTGGATGTTTACCTAGCACTGGGAATTCTAGTCCTTTCAAATGATTCCATTTGTTTTGATACTCCCTCCAATTCACAACACACATATCACCAGTAACTTTGTCTGCTGTCAAGGCTTCCACCTTCGTTTTGATCCTGCCGTCAGTGCTTTCTATTTGGAATTCTACAGGCATGGTTTCAAATGATTCAGTTTTGTCATTTAAAACTCCAACGGTCACTCTTTGCAATTTCCCATGTACGCCAAGTTCCGCTGCGACATCTGAATTGACGTATGTTCGTGTACTTGCATCATCCAACAACGCATTTACTCTTAATGTCTTTGACCCATTTCTCACAATAACTGGAATAGTTCTTAGTGCGATGAACTGTGGCTCCCCTCCATGACACGTCAAAGTTCTGTCATGCTTCACTGATCTCTGGGTATCACAATTTTTATCTTCAACAGAATTAACTGAGGGGTTCGGTCTCGGGGTCTCTTTATGTGGGTAAAATTCTGGAGCATTTTGCCTTAATTCTGATGTTGAAATGCCCTGCTGATATTTGTCTGCACTCCGGTTAACATTATGGTTTCCATTGTGCAAAAGTCTATGATGCGTTTCGGAACAATTGTCAATACCGCATGATCGACTCTTCCTACATGAACTTCCGAAATGACCCATTCCCAAACAACGATAACACAACTTTGACTCACGAACAAACTTCCATTTCTGAGACACATCAAGTTTCTTGAACTGTTCACATGACCAGATACCATGTTGTCCTTGACACATCTGACACGTTTTCGATAAGTTCTTAGCATTTCCAAAGAATGCTTTCTGATGTATTCGGTTACTGATACACTTTTTCCCGTCCGAATTATTGTTTGAATCCACTTTTAAACCATACACAGTCTCATTGGCGACAGTTCGAAATTCAGATTCCTGAATGACCCATTCTCGTAAAGTTTCCACCGACTCTGTCTTTTGCTTTTCGAACACCCATCTGTGATATGTAGATAACATTGTCTCTGGGATTTTCTTCTGCAGCTTCACATACAAAGAGCCATTTTTAAGTTCATCTGTCCTCCCTGTATCTTTCAGGTTAACAACAGCCACATCCAGTATGTCTGCAAATTTCTCTAGATCCTTGAATTTCCAGCACGAATTGGCCTAAATGACTCTAACTGTTCCAGGTGCCGCATAACTTGTCGTCTCTGGCCTCCAAACTTTCTGTCAAGGCGGTCCTTTGCTGCTTCATAAGCGAACGCTGAGTGTCCAAGGTTTTCTACGACTTTCAGAGCCTCACCAGATAGATACTGTCTAAGCTGTAACAACTTATACTCTGGAGTTGCTGGAGCTTTGTCTATGCACGCGAAAAAGGCTGCTTTCCAACTTTCATAAGTACGCTTGTCACCAGAAAATACAGGGATTGACACTCGTTTCAGTTGTTTCCACATGTCATTACCAATTGTAGGCTGATTGATGGAATTCTTACTAGTTTGTTTCCCGGTCGAGGATGTTGTCACAGTGTATGGATTTTCATCGATATCTTCATTGACGATACTATCTGTTTCCTGATTGTTGGTGTCATGGTAACCAACACTCTCTTCATGCATCCTCTGTACTTCATTCTCCACTTGTTCGAGTTCTTTGTATCCGTCTTGAATAGTTTCATTTAACTGTTCTAATTGTTCTCGCTTTGCATGAAATTCTTCCTCTAAAACTCTTTTAGCTTCTTCAACTTTTTGTACCTCCTTTCGGATTGTTTCCGCTCTTTTCCTAACTTGAATTTCCTCGTGATTCAAAATGTCTAAGCTGCCTCCTAGACAGCCTGTATTAATACTTGATGCCTCACTTCTCCGTGAATCTAAATATTCCTGCACTCTTTCTTGACAATCTTCAAATGTCTCTTCTATAACATCAATTTCTTGATTTGTTTTTGCTAAGTTTTTCATGTCACTTGCCTTTTTGTACTCCGCAGAGAGCGACAGTAGATAATTCATCACAGGTTCCTGTAAATCAATCAATCGTTGCCTCGCTGTGCGAATTTCTCTGCGACTGGGTAAATCTTGATCCAGTAAATTTAATAAATGGTGTATAGCTCGAGTAAACTGTGACTTAGCTTTTGTTTTTTCACGTTTCATGTCGTCGAGGTCCCGTTTTCCCTCCGATACTTCAGCGACGTCTACTTTCGTTTTCTCACTATTCATTTCATTGATTATTTTTTCGTCTTTTTCCATTTTCTGCGCTTCCGAGGTTGCCGGAACGTTTTCTCCCTCTTGTTTACTTGCCATAACCACGCTCTGCTACCATTTGTTGCCGATTAGTTCAAAAAAACTTTAATCTCCGCACATGGGTAAAACGAAAACATAACGATTTTACAACAATATACAGAAGCCCGAACCCGATCCCAAAACAATAACAATTTTTACAAAAAACATAAATCTCAAGAACAGAAGAGCATAGGATTTGTGCAGCAATTTTATTAATTTTAAGAAAATTCTCCTTAATATTATACTTTAATTATTTTAGATTGCGCCGACGTTATATTGTTGAAGTGTTTTATTACCTTGAATAGGAAAAGAACTATGACGTCATAATATGACGTCATAATGTGCACTTGCATTGATATACTGTGGGTACTAAGTATGTATAAGAAAATCAATTTGAACTTTCTCTGTACATAAAATACACAATTTATGCATTTTTATTAGCTCATTTTCATAGAAAAACCCATATTTAGCCTTAACTCACTTGCGATATCTTACATGTAATAGAACAAAACAGGCACCCATGTTTGATATCAATGAATTAACTCTTCTGTCCTTATTGCTTGCAATAGTGAACAGAAGCAGACAAGGTTCATGGTTAAGTAATTTTTTCGCAACCGAGTCGGGGGACACATTGATGTGCTTTTGTGTGTGTGCTTGTGGTTTATTTTTTTTTACCCTCTAAAAGTGGGGGATTTAATTTTGGTTTGTCTGTCCATCCATCTGTAGTTCTGTCTGTCTGTAATGCTTTCGTTTCCATGCCATATATCTTACACTTAGACCTAGATTCACACATTGCACAATTTTTAAAAATACATCCTTGCTTTTCAAAAATATTTGATAAATACCAAGGAGCAGATTTCAAATAATTCATTCATTTTTAGTATATAAGTACAGCCCCCCACCCCCACCCCTCTATGGTACCCCTGCCCCAGGGGCCTTGAAATTCACAATTCTTAAAGATTAGGACCCTTGCTCATCATAACTATATACGTATATACCTGTTTAATACCCAGAAGCAGAGAAGAAAATTTTCAAAGATTTAATGTATTTTCACTATATAATCAATAGAGCCCCGCCCTAACACCAGAACCCCTGACCCTGGGACAATAAAATTCACAATTTTGGTAGAGGCACTTCTGCTCATCATAACTATGCACTTAGTTAGTTTACTTAATACCTAGCAGCAGAGAAGAAGATTTTCAAAGAATTATGTATTTTCACTATATAATCAAGAGACCCCGTCCTAACACCAGAACCCCTGGCCCTGGGGTCATAAAATTCACAATTTTGGTAGAGGCACTCTTGCTCATCATGGCCATGCACTTAGCTAGTTTATTTAATACCTAAGAGCAGAGAAGAAGATTGTCAAAGATTTCATATATTTTCACTATATAATCAAGAGAGCCCCGACCTAACACCAGAACCCCTGACCCTGGGGACATAAAAATCACAATTTTGGTAGAGACACTCTTGCTCATCATAACTTTGCACTTAGTTTGTTTATTTAATACCTAGGTGCAGAGAAAAAGATTTTCAAAGAATTCATGTATTTTCACTATATAATTAATAGAGCCCCAGCCTAACACCAGAACCCCTGACCCTGGGGCAATAAAATTCACAATTTTCGTAGAGGCACTCTTGCTCATCATAACTATGCACTTAGTTAGTTTACTCAATATCTAGAAGCAGAGAAGAAGATTTTCTAAGAAACAATGCATTTCTACTATAAACTTATTTAGCCCCACCCTAGCACTAGAATCCCTGACCCAAGGGCCATGAATTTTACAATTTCAGTAGAGGACCTAAATGCTGATTACAATCATGCAAACAGATTGACTGCTTGATGCTTAGGAGTAAAGAAGAAGATTTTCAAGGATTGCACTAATTTTAGTTGTTTTGGCCCCACCCCTCAGGCCCCAGGGGGGCAGGGATCATGAAATTCACAATTTTGGTTTCCCTTTACCCAACTGCCAAATTTGGTTGAAATTGGTTCAGTGGTTGCAGAGAAGAAGCTGAAAATGTTAAAATGTTAACACACAACGCACGACGACGGACAAAAACGGATAGAATAGGTCACCTGAGTTTACTCAAGTGACCTAATAAGACATCAGAAAATAATGTCTTACCTTTGTAAGTCCACACTGAGAAGACGGATCCTTCTTGATTGTCTTTCTCTTTTTCAACAACATCTTCAAACTTCTTAGTCATGTCCAACACAAGGATAAAGAAGGCCTTTGGTGTTACGTAAATTTGGTGACAGGCATAATACGCTAACTGACCAGCAAAATCCAGCATGCTTACAGTCGGTAAGTTCTCTTTTTCAGACAAGATTTTCTGAAAAATTTCATCCTTCACTTTTTTCTTTGCTTCTGAGGAAAGAACACTGGCCATTACCTCTACTGTATTGACTTCTTCTTTGACTTCAGTTGGTGAAGTAGACAACTCAATATTACTTTCTTCCTTTTCTTCCCTGGTGCAAATTTCTTCAGTATCTATATCTGATTTTTCCAATTCCAAATTGTCTCTATTTTCATTTGAATTTGAGAGGTCAACTTCACTGGACATGTTTGCCTTTAAGTCTTTGATATTTATCCTGATAAATGTCTTCAATGGTGAGTCGTCATCAGCAACTGTTAATAGATAATCATTTTCTATTGTTATCAGGAGAATGATTTCCTTATAACATACGTCATGATAAAGTCATTATGATCCTTTCTAGGCTAATTTACATATCAAGTGAGATTTTTTTGTGTGTTTGTGTGTGTTCAAATTATTCATCATCTTTCATGTTATTACAGTACTTATATTCCACCCTGAGCCAGACAAGTAGTGGTACACTTATTTCAACCAAAAGATTAATGCTTTGTTTAAATCAGATCATTAATATTAAATTTTCTGTACATGTAATACATGTATAAATATATTGCCTAAACAATTTAGAACTGTCTAAATGGGATACATATCCACTGCTGGGTTTTTAAGAAGTTGCCAAATCACAAATATTGTATGAAACTAAGAGGAGCTCACAATTTGCTGAAACATTTTGAGTGAAAATATAATTGACGTTCATTTTCTTTGGTCAGTGACCTTGAACTTGCAGAAATGGCCTGTGGCCAAAGTCATGACACACCTTTAGGTCATAACAATCTTTGTGTAAAATGGGAACTTATCACATTTATCTATAGGAAAGATATGGATGAACACGAATTATGAACTTTTTCTTTTAGCATGTTTAGTGTCTCAGACCTTGCATTAAAATGCACCTACATGTATTTACATTAACCTTTCCTTTAAAAAACAAGGGTGACTTCCAACACATTTATTTAAAATCTGATACTATTTTAACAAGGGCCCATGGGTCGCATCGCTCACCTGAGCACTGTGGCTTGAAAAAAGTAGAAATTGGTTTATTATTGAAATTAAAATCCCAAAGTAGTCCCATGATTGGTCATACCCAAAATAGAATGCTTGTTCTCATCAACAGAAGAAAAATGACAATCTAGTGTCTGGTGATTGTGACGCTGAAAATAAAAAGTGTTTGTTTGTTTGTTGGCACCCATGAGTACTTTCAGTTCTTTGATTCAAGTTAAGACTTTATCTCAATTTCTTTTAAATCTAATTAACCTTTAGGAATTTAATACATGTATGACAGGAGCCAATTACTTCCCCTCAATATACAAAAAGTTAGTATTTTGAAAATTGTAATATATCAGGGATTCTCGTAATATCATCAGGCTTACATACAGGTTTTAAGCCAAATAAACAGGGTTCAATATTGCAGAAATATTCTAGGATTACAATTTCTCTGTTAAATGTCATGGAGGCTCATAGAGTCTACTTTAAGGTCAGACGAGACGTTCCTCAAAATCTGCTTTGTATATCTTCGTAATGTATGAAAAATATTCAAAATTTTTATAAAAGTCTGATTTCTAAACCAGTTTCTAGACGTTTTTAAAAAATCCGAACACTTAAACATTTGAAATTGGAAAATTATTTTTCTTCCCCAAAGGATTATATAAGAAAAACTACCCCTGGTATCTTGCAGAAATGCCTGGTAAGGTACCTCAATTTTTTGTGAGTAAACATGTTTCAGTAGCAACACTTCTATGACACACTCTTAGAAAAATTTATCTATTATTAAGGAACGTCTCGTCTGTCCTTAAAGGATTAATTCTTAGTGTTAAACCAATTCAGAAACATTTAATTTATATAATGGCAATTCTTCAGAGCAGCAAACATTTAATTTGTGACATTTTTAATACATAGAGGACATTATTTACCTTCTAACATTCCATCTTTAACAATGAAAAGATGTTGATGGACTTCCAGTCCCCTGGTGGACTCTGTAACTTCACTGACATTTTGACGTTTCCCTCTTAATCGCTTTAACAGCGCTGTTATTCCCTTGGACGATTTTGTAGCTTTGCTGATATTGTGATGTTGCCCTCTTAATCGCTTCAGTAGCGTTGTTTTTCCAGCCTCAGCACATCCAACAAGTATTCCTCTGGCATGGGAAACAGTTGTCTTCTCCTTTCTCAAGAACGTCTTTAACTCATCAACTTTATCTACAACATAAAAGAATAATTAGAATTACCAGAACACGCAGATCACATTTTTTCTTTCATTTGATGAACACAGAATAAAACCCAAAAGGTTCAAGGGCCTTAACAGTTATCTGAGTATAGTATAGCACTGTCAGGATAAAAAATATAATAAAACAAAATAAAAAAATATGAATCTATGTTGCTAAGTGAATAGCAAAGGTAAATAACTCACATATTAATTCAGCCCTAGAACCAAACTTTTTTACAAAATGGTTCAAGAATATCACAGGTCTGTAAAATATAACCCTGCTTTATTACACTGAACTTTTTGGCAGAGTAAAATATTTTCAAGGAAATAAAACATAATAAAACATTTTCACTGTAGATTCAAAACATCTTAACCCTCAAGGCCTCAACACTAGAATTCCATTTACAGAGGCCTTGACATACACAATTTTGAAAGATTGAGACATCCACCCTTTATCTTTACTAAACTCTTTATTTATTTCCTCACTATCTGAGAGCAGAGAAGAGATTTTTTTCTAAGGAATTATGTTTTCTGTATTTAAACATGTTAAAGTGTTTAATCAATAGAGCCCCTCCCCCAATTTCATCAAAAGAACACTGAACTCACTATTTCTATGTAGTTCATCAGTTAAATTTCTAAAAGTTGAGGGGAAAATTTTCAATTCGTTTTAGACTTTATGTATTTTTACAATATGACCTTTAGAGAAGTGGCCTTAGACACGAGAGAAGGCCACCGGGAGGATGAAAATTTACCATGTTTGCAATTTCGGTTTCCCTTTACTAATAATTGCTTTATGTCAGAGTCGGTTGAAACTGGTTCATTAGTTCCAATGGAGAAGCTTAAAATATAAGACGTTACCCTCTGCTCCTGTAAGGTAGGAGCTAGTCCACTAGGAACAAGTATATTTCACCCTAGCTTATAATTGCACATTCATACACACCTGGCCTCCATACAGTAACCTTTTGACCTTGTTCATTTTATCAGAAAGAACCTTTTACAGATAATGTATTGTTTTAAGAAGACCTACTACAAAAACTTATTTCCAAATCCCTAGCCCATGTACATCCACCCACTCTACACATATTTGACCTATAGATCTTAGCTTGGTGTTACTGTGTTCCCTTGTCTTATAACATATAAATTTCTACATTAAAATACAAAAAGAATTCACAACCATATTTTTTCCAAACCCCTATATTTTATATGGTAAATAAAAATATTATATGTATACATTTTTCTTTTGTTTTTTAATCCAATAGCATTTTAAACAATATGCATTGTCAATTAATGTAAACAAGAGTACTGTTTATTTAAAGTTTTCTCTCTTTGTCCAGTCTACCTATTATTCAACTACGAAGACAATTGTTTATACACCTCAGTAACTATACACTGGATTAAACTCTACACACATAAGAAATTAATTCCAGGGGATGTTTAACAAGTTGATGAACATTTACATGTAGTAACATGATTCAAGCATGTCTTTCTAGAAATCACTGCTTTGCCAAACTCTTTTAAAACATTGTAAAAGTATTCTAACCATAAAGTATTAGTTAAACTACAATTTATAATTTATATCATCCTCATCTTAAAAATATTTCTTGCTATTTATTGTGACAAATAATAATTCAATGAAAGATGTAATGTAAACAGACTTATCATTTTAAATGTTTTGTTTAATATAACACACACAACAGTGAATGTGACTTCCTAAATAATGAAATAATTAAATGATTGTAGATAATGGTAGATGTAGCATTGTACCCAAAACATAGTTACCTAATATCTATACATGTAAACAAATCACACAATGATACAATAGTATAACTCACCAGTAAGATCGTCCCCTTCATTGATAAGTCTGTAAAAGTTTACTTTGTTGCTGTTTGATCCAACCCAGAGAAGCTGTGTATCACAATCATAACTCAGGCCCTGTGGTCTGTTTATCCCGTGTTGTTTGGACTCGAACTGTGTCAGAAAGAGACCGTCCTGGTCAATGATATGTATTGTGTTCTGAGCAGCAGCACACACCAGGATGTGTGACAGCGCGTCAGTACAGATTCCACGTGGATCTATTCGTGGTCCTAATGTAGGACCTCCGTAGGAGAACCGGTAATTACCGTCACGATCTGTCACCACTACACCACGGAGTTCGTCAGACACAATAACATATCCATTGCGGTTCTCTGTTATGTATCTAGGATTTCTATACAGTCTCTGACCTAAGTTGTCGTTCTGTATGGTCTGTATGTGTCGTCCTGTTTTGGTATAACGGTTTACCTGGCCTCTATATGTATCAGTATTCAACATCCCGACCAGCAGGTCTCCAGTGGAGGGGGGGCTGTAGACACACACTGGTCTCCATGGTAATGTGCGCGGTATCACTGTGGTCTTTTTGTTATCTGTAGACAGTTTAATGATGTTATGGTGACTGTCTATATAAATCACAGCACCATCCCGAGTCACAGTATGTACTCCAGCACCATATTTAGTGAAATCTGTCACTTGATCTAGTCTGTCACCTGTCGTGTTAGTTAAGATGAGATTGCCTTCACTATCACTGATCCAGACCCGGTCTGTTGACACACGGGATATGTGACGACACCCAATAACCCCAGACACGGTGACAGATTTCTGTAATACCAGTCTATACATCACTGACACCAGACTTTTATTTCCATTTCCTGTGACTTTATAATCCTGTGTTGATTTCAGTCAGGGAGATCTCTCTGTAAATTACAACACTGTTCTAGATTTTTCTACATCAATAACAGGGTGTTTACAGATATTGTATGCATCTTGCCCAATCTGTTCAGTAGTTTGAATATATACATGTATTATATAAACGAAATAATTATTTGATATAAATGTATTACTACTTATTATAATACGCCTCTCTTTATAAGTTTATTATTACTTATTATTAAGATCAGGCCATCCTTACAAAATATGTCTGCTTGCCCTCTCCTGACTGAGGATAAAAACAGGGTAGGCAGATCAGGACCAAATTCTTTTCTTTATTCTTTATCTTTTGCGTGAAAAGAAAAAAAAACACTTGCTGTGGCCTTCAACTCGACATTTAGATATATCGACGACGTATTGTCAATTAATAATGATAATTTCCATTCCTACGTCGACACGATATATCCTGGTGAGCTTGAGATAAAAGATACCACAGAGTCCAACACATCTGCTTCATACTTGGATATTTTACTTGAAAAAGACACAAATGGTAATCTAACAACCAAGCTATATGATAAACGTGATGACTTTAACTTTTCTATCGTCAAATTCCTTTACTTATGCAGCAATATACCTTCATCACCTGCATACGGAGTATTTATATCTCAGTTGATTCGATACGCAAGAGCATGCTCTACGTATGAACAATTTCTTAAACGAGGTAAATTATTGACAAGCAAGTTGATGAAACAAGAATATCAACAGTCTCGTTTAAAGTCGTCATTTCGTAAATTCTATGGTCGATACAATGACCTTGTCAGCAAATACAATTTATCATTGAATGAAATGCTGACTGACGTTTTTCATACCAATTGTTAGTCCATTATTTATACACTGAATTGACTACGGATTTTTTCCGTTATTTCCTGATTATGACAATGAGCACAGGGCGGGTGTGACCGGTCAGCAGGGGTTGCTCACTCCTACATGGCACCTGATCCCACCTCTGATGTTTCGGAGGTCCGTGTTTGCTCTGCTCTTATTTTGTATATTTGTTTAATGGACGTTGAGATTGAATACTGTTCGTTATTTCCATATCCTTACTTGTCACGCAAAAGATTTTACATAAATTCTGCTTCATATGAATATAAAAATAAGTCTGCTAATAACCGAGCGCAATTTGTACCCATGGGAATTCCAATAGATTGTTGGAATACCTGGTCTCCAAAAACCACATAGATATTGTCAATCAGAAACTCAAGCATCTTCTTGATGTCAACTTCAGAGTACTTATGTGTGCAATCAGAATCTGTTTTAACAAAATAATTTTTCAAATGACCAATGACGAGGTAAGTAAACTTACGACTTCCATTTTTGTTGAAGAAGCAGCTGTCAATGATATCAAAAAGCCTGGATTTTAATTTGTCGTGCGGAATTGTTCTGTATAAAATTGAAAAGTCGTAATTTTTATGCTGTTGATTTTTGTAAAATCTTGTGATTTCAAATTGTCCAAAAGTTCTTTAGAATTTTTAAGTATCCACATCTGATTTACACCACTTCTTGAATATATAGTTATACAGTACTCTTGAAGTTTTTCTTTCACTACTGTCAATATTTTAGTGAGAAGTAACTAAAGAGGCTTGGTTGAACATTTACTGGAACCTGCAATATATCTTTGTTTGTAAGGATTCTTATGAAGTTTCGGAATCCAATATATATACGGTAGTTCAAATTCATTTTGGCTCTGTGGAATATTAAAAGTATTCAAAACTGACAGGTGATTTTGAAGAATTTCTTCCTTAGAAAGAGTAGCATATGTTTAAGTAGGATTACCACTTGTAGAATTAATTCCAAGTTCTTCTAAAATGCAATTTATATAATGAGCCTTACAAACGAAGACAATGTTGTTACCTGCTTTGTCAGCAGGAACCAGTACGTTCTGATCGTGTAATCTATCTAATTCTTTTTTCACTTCTGGTTTATTGAACACAAAAGGATAGATGGTTTTCATTTTGCCCCTCAGTCTTTTAATACGTGACTTTAACATGGATCTGATACATTTAATCCATTCTGACAAGGTGTCAATGTCTTCTTTTTCATATCTAGCCCATCGTCTGGCGTAATTTTCAACAGAATCCATAATATTTAAGAAATTCCGACACCAGTTGAAGGATCGGGGTTCCCTATATTTAGGACCTTTTAAAATAAGTGATCTAAGGTCCTTATTACGAACTATATTTACGTCACCTGTAATAACGTGTCCAGCAGGACTATAGTTATAGGACGAAGAAAAACATGAACACGAAAGGGGATTATTTTTCAGATAGTCGATATCCAGGCCATGTAAAGTATTTGAAAAGCATTGAAAAGTTTGGAAGCAATGGTCGATGTATATTTGGTGATTTGTAGTCTCTAACTTGAAATATGGTGGAATAAAATACTAGATCCTTTTGTGATTAAGAATATTACTTATATTTACTGCGTCAATTCCTTTATTGACATATTGAAGTTTAAGGAAAAGACGGATTGTTTTAGCTGGATTTTCTTCCGTGAAACGTTCGGGTTTAAAAAGCCTATGATGTGCAATATCCATAATCACAGAACTGAGCCTATATTCAGGTGTCGAGGAATCTAAATTAGGATGTTCCTTGGTCTTTTCAAGAAGACTTTTTAAAAGTTTCAAAGGGACAGAGTAAAGTTTGGTTCGAATATGATGTAGACCTAACTGTTGATTTACATAAGGTAGTAATGAATCAAAAGAGACGTCGTGTATTGCAGGTTTATTGTACGAACGATGTCAATGACTACGCTTACGTCTCTGAGAATTGTTAAAAAGTCCCACCACATTAACATTATTACACTGCGGGCTTGTAAGATTTCCAACACTATCGACATTGTCATTACATCCATAGGGAAAGGCTGTCCCTAGTTTCCTAATCCAAACTTTTTCACGCCCACGTTATTTTTTGATATATTATGCAAAATTCAATAATAAATCACATATTTCAAGATCTTTTTGGGCGATGCCTGTGGACAATGTTATCTGAAAGAAAATTCCAATGAAAATTGGTGTCGTCTGCAACTTTTTAAGAAATACGGGAAAATGCACATGTTTATAACGTCATAATTAGCATTTAAAAACACATGTGAGAAAAATGACTTGTATGATTTTTCTGCATTGAATTTCAAATATTTAAAAAGCATGAGTTGTCAACTTTAACACCAGTTTCATTATTTAGAAAATCTCAGGGCAAAATTTGAATGAAAACCATATCTTCTTCTTAAAAATATAATAAATCGGAGTTTTAAGAATTAACATGCGTGAGGTCGCTTGCCAGTGTACATGTTTCAGTGTTTCTATATGTAGTTTGCGACAAAAGCACTGTTTGTTTTAGATAAAAGAATATATTTAAAATACACTTCTGCATTATTTTAACTATTCTAGAAAAAACAATGTCTATTGAATAGCTATATGTTAGTTTTTCTTGGAAATATTATGTATTACATGATATACATATCTAGGATCTGGACTGTTAATTTTAATTGCTGGTATATGGGGGTACTGTTTTAAATCATAAATATAAAATTCTACTAATATTAATGCCCCCCCCCCAAAAAAAGTTCCGGGGTAAAGGAGATTTGTTACGATTCCAATGATGGTTTTTGCCCCGTTCTTCAGGGTCCAGTGAGACAGGGGCCTTGTATTTAAGGAACGATTTTAAGTTTTGTGTGAGTTATTGGTGTGTAAATCACACAGACTTGTCACGTAGGCATATTTTATGAAGCCCACTAGCGCTTCCTGAAAAATATGCCTACTTGCAAGTCTGTGTGATTGACAAACTAATAATTCACACTAAACTTCAAAACATTCTTAATGTATTTACATTCTACATGTTGGGAAGCAACTAAAATATGCTAAATATTTGAAATTCTCGCTGCCCTATATCGTTGCACTTTTACTAACGTCGCTGCAGTCTCATTGTGACGTCACATTAACGCACCTTTCTCCGTGTATATTTCTACGTGTGAGTATACACGAAAATGATTTTCAAATCACTTTCACTGTAAGCTTACAAGAAAAACACAGCGAATGTAAATATTTACAATTATTATTTCCCTTCCCCCATGCATGCTTAATGCAAAATATTGATTGAAATTGGTTGAGTGGTGGCAAAGAAGAAGCTAAAAATGTAAACATGTTACCTCGCGGAGCTCGACGCACGACGGACGAATACGGATAGCAATAGGTCACCTGAGTGACTCATATGACCTAAAAAAATCATTTCTAATTTATATAAAAAAAAATACTAATTTAGATAAAATCAAATCAAGAAAATAAATCACTGACCTTTTCTCCTTTTGATTCCTATAAGCTAGCCTTAAAAAATCTTTTTTTTTTCTCTCTTAAAGAATTTAAGGTCTTTCAATTATCCCTGCTTTAATAAAAAAAACTTGAATTCAAAAATAAAATCAATGCATCACGTAAAAGATTATCAAAGAAATTTAATAAAGTATTCTCGGTAACTATGTAACCCTATCAAGTTTTTCGTACCGACATCATGCTTCACTAAATTCATGTTGCATGCTAAATTGCTTTTAAATACCAAATTCACACAGTTAACACTCTATCCTTTTTTGTTGCAAATGATACTTTTTATGTTTTTTTTATATTCAAAAGGACGACTTTACATTATTTAAGTAAAGTCTTTTAATTTGCTGAAAACTTAAATCGTCAATAAATGTATATTTCGAGGTTCATCCCCATTTCTATGCTGGATGCTAGAACATTGAAAAATACAAAAATGAAAAGATGTGTCAAATACCTTCTCCCACGGTATAAGATTTCAATTTAACATTTCAACAGCTTAGGTTTCATTGTAGCTGCTGTAATTTTTAGGGATATCCCATAACTTTTAAAACCAGTCCTGCAAACCGGTATTTAATATTCGTGATCTGTTCATTGCATACACATC